CGTTCAAATGTATCCTATACAGAAACGAATACAAATACTGTATTTACTCCAATTTCGAATACGTCTTTCCAGTCATGTTCTTTGCAATATTTTGTCATTTTATGGGTTACTGACCGCCTCTGTGATCTAGTGGTCAGAATTCCTGGCTATAGATCCAGAGGTCCCGGGTTAGATTCCCGGCACTAGTAAATTTTCTGAGAAGTGGTGGGTCCGGAACGTGGTCCACTCAGATTCTTGAAGAAAATTGAGGAGCTATTTCAAGGAACTAGCGGCTCCGGTCTAGAAAAACCGAGATTAACGATCGTGGGGATTCGTTGCGCTGACCACGCGACACCCTCTATCCGCTAAAGTTGGCATTAACTTCGCCGACAAGCAGCGGTCGCTCGGTCGGTATAGTTCGCTTGCGGACTAAAACCACGGAGTTCGTTCGTTCGTTTATGGGTTACTTCACAATGCTGCCAGTGGCTACATTGTGTCAGGTCGAATATCAGATCGATTATAAATTGGAAAGGGCGTGGAAAGTAACTTACATGAAATAATCGAAGGGCTGCATCGAAATTTTCCATGAGGGACTTAGAAAAACCTAAACAGACGATATCTCGACAGAGATTCGAGCCAAGAATTTCCTGAACGCGTGTCTGGAGTATTACTGTTATGCCAGCTTGTTCCGTTCATTGTCTGTTCCACAAAATATTTAAGAACCTAATTTTATAAGACAGTAACATTTTGTACGCCGCTCACGGTAGCCGAGCGGCCTAAGGCATGCACTGTTTTCGCTCGCTCTTAAGCCGGGGCTGTGGTTTCGAATCCCACTCAGGGCATGAATGTTTGGTGTTTGTGTGTGTGCGTTTTTCTGTGTTTCTGTGCAGGTAGAGGCCTTGCGACGAGCTGATCACCCGTCCAAGGAGTCCTACCGTAGCCGTGCGGCCTAAGGCATGCACTGTGTTCACTCGCTCTTAAGCCGCGGCTGTGGTTTCGAATCCCACTCATGGCATGAATGTTTCGTGTTTGTGTGTGTGTTTTTCTGTGTTTCTGTACAGGTAGAGGCCTTGCGACGAGCTGATCACCCGTCCAAGGAGTCCTACAGCATGTCTAAGATCTAGTAAACCGAAGTGAAACGGAGAGTTTCATGGGAGTAGGACAAAGCCCAAATTGGGGCTGTAGCGCCAAAAGAAAAAAGAAACATTTTGTATAAACGTTACGTTACAAGTTAACAGCCCTAGGCATTATAAAAAGTAACCGGTGATTATACATAATCTCCATCATGGGACTATACGTAATTGCCTATTATTATGCATAATCACTGTTACTGTAACGTAAAAACAGGTATTCTGAAACGTAACTTCAATCTGTTTCAACTAATTCCTACATTAACGTTTATAAGTGAAGTTGATAGATAAAAGATGTCCGTGAACTTAACTAATTAAGAAGCAAGCCAAGAAGGTATATGAGGGAGAGGAGGAATAACTCCACTATTCTTGACCTCGACACTAGATGGATGTGAGTGTTTAGGTTCACACCCCGGCCTCTTACTCAGGTGTAAGAGGCCCTTTACACCCCCTGGATAGCAGGCTGGGTGGGCCCCCACAACCAGTTTGGACGACTTGGTGAGGAGAAAATCTTGTCTGTACCGGGACTTGAACCAGTCACTATACTCGCCGCACTATCCCGGCTCCGCGAGCACGGGGGTTGGCATGCCAGTTATAGCTCCTTCTGCTAACGGACGTAATCAGAATACGCTACATACCCCGCAGTCTAGTTCTTGCTCCCCTCCCCGTCCCCTCTAAACATACGAAACTACCCAGAGAAATTACGACACTCTGAATATATGTTATATATAAACATATACATATGGAGCAGTGGAATCCAAACATGAGTCCTAGTGTCATGAGTTTTTTACAGCCTCAACTAGCCGTTTCCCGGCAACGGATTTTAACAAGGGAACCGCAACAGCCTCATCGAGTTACACACTCCAAATATTGTGGTACCACAGCACACATAAAAATCTTCTCTTCACTGCCAGACTTTCAACTCAACTGAGCTGCACTCAATGATACTGATGCCTCAGTTCCCCACCTCGCATGCTCGATTTCTGGCAGGCTAGTGTCTCGAAATTCAGTTGATATAAACATCTTACTTATCCTTCCTATGACGCCTTGGCAAGGACAGCACATAGAACGCAGTTACTCTATCGATGATTATATTCGTTTCCGCGGACACGTGCTTACCGAGCCGTTGCCTAGCAACGAACATCTACTCTAGCTCCACTATTCCACCCTTCAAGCGTCATGTCACAGTAGGATACTTAAATAAGAAGTGATTAGGGTATACAGCAAGAATAGGAGAAACAAGAAATGCATAAATAATTCTGGTCCTCACACCCAAGGGAGAGTTATGAGCAGATGGGAGATATAGGTAAAGTTGACCCTATATGTAAGCAAACCCCTCACATAAAGGCATATGGAGGGCGTGCAGGTAAATAACCGTGTTATTCTTGTCCTGTGCACTGAAGGTAAATTATATGGTATTTTCAAATTCTGGTCGCTTTACGCCCTGAGAATAACATTAAAATGAAGATACGAGGTTCTCACAGACATAAATGATAAGTATAATGAGGAAACACCATCAGACTGTGCGACGTCACTTTAGATAAGACAGCAATCTTACGAAATTTCTTTGTTCATTATTATGTCCAGGTCGATCCTACGGCAGAACCGTGAAGATGACCATTTGTACCGAAGGTTGTGGATATACCTCCACTCCCCCTCCCCCCACACGTCTTCATGGCTTGGTGCTTACTAACTTTATATCGTGTAAACGAAATGCCTAGGGAAATCGGTTCCAACTACGCCGTGTGACGCCTGTAAACGTGCTAAACGTGTCTGAAATACACTGAGGGTGCGTGATGAAATAGTGACGTCAGCCGATAAATCTTTATCAGAAATTAACTAGATTATATTTTAAGCATTGTATCACTCATGAAGTCTGACATAAAGGGAAGAACATAGACTGAGGGTGTTTGAGAACAGGGTGCTGAGGAGAATATTTGGACCGAAGAGAGATGAAGTGACAGGAGGTTGGAGAAAACTGCATAATGAGGAGCTTCATAACTTGTACTCTTCTCCAAGTATAATTAGAATGATCAAGTCAAGGAGGATGAGGTGGGCAGGTCATGTAGCACGAATTGGGGAGACGAGGAATGCGTATAGGATATTGGTGAGAAAGCCAGAAGGAAAGAGGCCACTGGGAAGACCAAGGCGTAGGTGGGTGGACAGTATTGAAATGGATCTTAGAGAGAGCGGATGGGATGGTATGGATTGGATTGATCTGGCTCAGGATATGGACCAGTGGAGGGCTCTTGTGAGCACGGCAATGAACCTACGGCTTCCATAAAATGCTGGGAAATTCTTGAGTGGCTGCAGAATTGGCGGCTCCTCAAGAAGGGCTCAGCTCCATGAGTAAGTAAGTAAGTATCACTCACTGAGCTCAGCCCTGCTTCAGAAGCCGCCAGTTATGCAGCCACTCAAGAACTTTCCAGCATTTTATGGAACCAAAAGTTTCATCACAGTATTTATTAGTTCCCGCCACTGGTCCCTATCCTGAGCCGGATCAGTCCAATTCATACCATCCCATCCCATCCTGTCTCTCTAAGATCCATTTTAATATTGTCCACACACCTACGTCTGGCGGTCTCTTTCCTTCAGACTTTCTCACCAATACCCTATACGCATTCCTCTTCTCCCGTGCGTGTTACATGCCGTGCCCATCTCATCCTCCTTCACTTGATCATTCTAATTATACTTGGAGAAGAGTACAAGTTATGAAGCTCCTCATTGTGCAGTTTTCTCCAACCTCCTGTCACTTCGTCTCTCTTCAGTTCAAATATTCTCCTCAACACCCTGTTCTCAAACACCCTCAGTCTATGTTCCTCCCTTAATGTCAGGGACCAAGTTTCACACCCATACAGAACCACAGGCAAAATTATAGTTTTGTATATTAACCTCGGCACATACTCCACGGAAAGTACAGTCTTCTGTTACCAGGAATACGTGTTTATTGGCACGTTACCTAGCAATGAATGTTCTATTGTTGAGAGCGTATGCTTTGGGAATGTGTTTACCGAGCCGTTGCCTAGCAATTGGCATATGCGTCACAATATATAAAAGTTCAGTTCACAATTTCACACCCATACAGAACCACAGGCAAAATTATAGTTTTGTATATTCTAATTTTTATGTTTTAGACAGCAGACGAGAAGACAAGTCTCCAAACCGCGAGATAAGAAGGATTTTTCTTCCGCAAGGTTGGCTACTCAAGGTGTGACGTTACAGACAGCGTTCCTTAATGACCATCAAGCTCAATTATATATTCAGTTTCATGCGGCGAATTGCCTATTGTTCTATGCTGCATATAACAATTTCCTGTAGAGGTTACTTGGAATAACACAACGTGCAGGGAACGAGCGCATATAGGAATTTCCATGTCTCCCTTTCTCCGTGTTTGCTTGTCCGTCTGCGGCTCCACTGAGCACATCTGGACGGATTTTAATGAGATTCCATCTGTACTTTATACCATTTAATGGTCCACTGGCGTGGACTCAGGCAAACAGACAAAATGGTTATCTCTACGCCTACTTTCCCTATTTTCAAAATAAGGTAATTAGTCTGAAAATGAATGACCTTCTCTGTGGTCTAGTGATCAGAGTTCCTGCCTACAGATCCAGAGGTTCCGGGTTCGATTCCCAGCGCTACCAGATTTTCTGAGAAGTAGTGAGTCTGAAACGGGGTCCACTCAGCCTCGTGAGGATAATTGAGGAACTATTTCAAGGAAATAGCGACTCCGGTCTAGAAAACCGAGATTAATGACCGTGGGGATCCGTTGCTCTTACCACGCGACACCCTCTATCCGCTAAAGTTGGTACTAACTTCGCCGACAGGCGGCGGTAGCTCGGTCGGTATAGTTGGCTTGCGGACTAATGATCACAGGGTTTTGTCGGAGTCTAAAAATGAATGCCAATAACACGTGGTGTTCCCAAGCGGTTACTCATTCAGCTACTAACAAATGCCAGTGTTGCTCGACTTCGATGATCGAATGTAAACCGGTATTTAGTAGCCGACTTCCCACCGCTGGTGTCCAGGTTCGATGCCAGGAAGGATTATGTGGAATTTGTGGTGGCCAAAGTTACAATGTGGCGTGTTTTCTGTTTCCTCTATAAATTTTTATTCCACCAACTTCTCCACACTCCTTAATCGTTCTATCATCGGATGCGGTGCAATGAATGCTAGGAGGTACAGCATGGACAGAAAATATGGCACCGACACTGCTACAAGGATCACGGAGCTGGACCCTAAATAGGCAACAGGTGAGCCGAGCAGCGTTTGGCTATTACAGAAGATGACAGAATTTTTTTCTTATTGCTAGTGGGGTGGGACTAAGTCCCTTGTACTGCGGCCACTTCTGGCCTGTTGTACCAGCCCCAGATGATAGGTGAGGGTGATTGTGGAACAATTGGTGGAATGAGGATTGGCAGGGGAAACTGAAGTACTCGGAGAAAAAATCTGCCCCAGCGCCACTTTGTCCACCACAAATCCCACTTGACCAGACCGCCGCGGTGGGAAGCCAGCGACTAACCGCTTGAGCTATGGCGCGGCCCATGACAGATGTTACAGGCTGTTCCTTATTATCTATACCTCTCCAGAAGAAAAATATAAATATTGTGACATGTCTGCATTGTCCGTTGCATGGCGGCGGCTAGGTAAACACGTTTCATTTGAAAAGATACAAACGCAACAATTGACGGCATTGTTTTCTATGAGGTCCGTGCCGAGGCTACATAAGAAGAACCAACGGGAATTTGCGAGTATATAAGAGGCTTAAACTTGGCGGCGGTCAAACTTAAGACTGTTCAAGTGACTAAGCTGCCGTTGTAGCATAAGATATGTAAGATAGACATGATCTGCTTCCCAAAGCCTGTACTGACAGAAGATCTGTATATAGTGCAGAAAGAAGAATTTTCAATAACATGCTATATGTACGATACGTACAAATGACGAAAGGCCAAGCATATCCATAAGAGATAAACCCGTCCTGTCGTCAGAGATGTTACCTAAGGACTATGACAGCAGGACTTCAATTGAAAAAATGAAAACTTTGATTATTTCTCAAGGGTCTAGGCGCCAAGAAGTAACTCACTTTCTCTCTCTTGCAAGTCAGTCACCAGGCAGCGAGAACAGAAGCCTTTGATCACGGAAGAAGTAAAGAGGATCAGTGTCGTCAGAAGCCGCTACTAGGCAACAGGTACGTGAGCACAGGCCGAGGAAGCCGTAGCCTAGCAATGGCTATTGAGAACAAACTAAGAATACTGTGCGCAGTAGTGAGAAATCAAGAGTGTGAATTAGTGAAATCGTTATAATTATGTGTGGTTACGGTTTTTACCAGTCCAACAAATCCAACTATCAATCCAAAACCCGTGTCTAATCAGCAGGGCCAGGATTTTGATGACTTGTCATCTTTTTTTCCTTGTATCCTATGCGATGCTCTTAAATATATAACTCTCGGATATGAGCTGCCGGTTACAGAAATGTAAATTTTATAGGTAATTTTTTGTCATTTTTCGACATTTTTGGGTTTAAGATATTTTTTCATTTTGGGGGTAATTTTTAGGTAAATTTTTGGACTTTAAGGGTATTTCTTGTCATTTTTTGGCCATTTTTGGGAATTTTTCTTCATATGTTTTCTGAAATGTGAATAACATGGAAGCGAAATGTTCTTTCTTTTCTCCTTTAGGTCATTTTTCTGAATTTTTTGGTCATTTTTTTAACATTTTCAGGTCATCAAAATCTGGGCCCAGCATATTACATTTTTGGGTCATATTTTAGGTAACTTTTCTGGATTTTTTCGGTCATTTTTTAAATATTTTCAGGTCATCAAAATCCGGGCCCTGCTAATCACTAACAAGTTACAATATAAATATAACTGATCTACTGCGATGAGTTCCATATACGCTTGACACAGAAAGCAAAGAAAGAAGGACTAATCAGACGAACTGGTTCCACCACCCGGAATGAATGGATGAAAAAAAAATTGCTAACAGATCACCTGTCCCTGTACACGGAAAAACAGGAGAAGCAGAACACCATAAAAACATGCAAAGGCCCATTCTTATTTGAACCTCACAGTAATAAGAGTTTAGCAAGGCTGCTTAATGATGAAACTGATTTTTGTGTGTTATTTCATGCAGCTGTTTTCTCTCTCTCTCCTCTCGCTCCCACTGTGGAGCATAGGGCTGATTTCTGTTTCATGATCATTTTACAGACGGTAGGACTCCTTGGACGGGTGATCAGCTCGTCGCAAGGCCTCTATCTAAATACATAACAACATTAACACAGAACAAACGTAGGTAAAAAAAAGTAAGGTATCCCTGTAACAGGGCGTGGAGGCCCATAAGGTTGTGAGGTATTGAGGTTCCCACATTTTCTAGACAATTGGCTCACAGATGGCGGTAAGATTGTCAGCCTTACGTGCCGACCGCCCTTTACCCCCAAGAATATTCCTGGTACCCATTTCTGTTAGAGGCTGAGTCGACCCCAGGGCCATAGTGCGGCTGGAAGGATTGGGTAAATTGACGAAATCCACCTCTTTGGGGTTCGATCCCGCGACCTTCCGGCTTGTAGCATAGTGCCTCAACCAACTACGCTACCGTGTGCCCCCAGAATAAACGTACACACACCATGCCTTGTGTGGGATTCGAACCCACGATCCCGGCTTCCGAGCGAGCGAAGACAGTTCAGCTACCGTGACCGGTTGTAAGCAACTAGGATGCTTAGCGTCGGAATGGTAGGATGCGTGATGAATAATGAATTGGAAAGGATTTGCAATGAATCAGTCGTGGTCTGATCCGGGTACTATGCCAGCATTGGCCTGAAGTAACTGAGTAAAACCATAAAAAATTGAGAACAGCTGATGCCCCGAACTGGAGTCGAGTCGAGCCCTTCCCAAACAGAAATCCAAAGCGTTTCCGTTACACTAACGTGCAGCATCACAAAGCCACGTATTATTATCATATAACTTCATGGCCTCTAGCAGTATTCACCACGGTCAATAACATGTTAAGTGAGAGATGTAGGTCATGGCCTCTTAAACAAACAAACAAACAAAGAGAAAGATGTCTGCTGACTCTGAAGTACCACTTTCATGATAAGAACCGACTGCTATGAAATAAGATTTCTATTTGTTTTTCTGGGCATTATGCTACAAGCCGGAAGGTCGCGGGTTCAACTCCCGATGAGGTTATTGGATTTTTTCAATTGACCTAATCCTTCCAGCCGCCCTATGGCCCTGGGGTCGACTCAGCCTCTAACAGAAATGAGTACTAGTAATTAATTAAATAATTTCCCTGGGAAGTAAAGTGCGGCCGGTGCGTAAGGCTGACAACCTCACCGCCATCTGTAAGCCGAATGTCGAGAGGAAATGAGGGACCCTCAACGTCTCACAACCCTATGGGCCTTCACGGCCTCTTACATGGATAGCTTTACTTTGCTTTTATTTGTTTTTCTAGTCTCTCTGTTTCCTTTCGTGTCCTCTCTTTTCTTTCATTCCAAGTTCTCTAAATCTCCGACTAAAAGAAAACCAAGACCTTGAAGACGCAGTGGACTACATAACCAAACTAATACAAACAGCAGCATGGATATCCACACCAGAAAGGAAAAAGACAACTCAGGAAGCTCATAACTTTCCACTACACATCAGGGAACTAGTCTACAAAAAACGCCAAGCAAGACGCAGGTGGCAAAATAGCAGAAACCCCCTAGACAAAACAGAACTCAACAAGCTAACTCACAAACTACGATCAGCCATAAAACAAGTCAAAAACGAAACGTTCAAATTCTATATTACAAACTTATCACCAGACGACCACTCATTGTGGAAAGCCACAAAAAAAATTAAAAGACCAACACTTGCAATACCACCGATAAGAAAACAAGACAGAAGCTGGGCACGGACAAACAAAGAAAAAGTAAACTTATTCGCTGAGTACCTTGCAACAGTCTTTACACCTAATAACGAAAACAACAACAATAACAACAACAACAACAAGGAGGACGAAGTCGAAACCTTCCTAAACTCTCCCTGTCAGCTATCGCCACCGATAAGAGCCTTTTCACCAACAGAGGTCAGCAGTNAAAAAAAGTAAGGTATCCCTGTAACAGGGCGTGGAGGCCCATAAGGTTGTGAGGTATTGAGGTTCCCACATTTTCTAGACAATTGGCTCACAGATGGCGGTAAGATTGTCAGCCTTACGTGCCGACCGCCCTTTACCCCCAAGAATATTCCTGGTACCCATTTCTGTTAGAGGCTGAGTCGACCCCAGGGCCATAGTGCGGCTGGAAGGATTGGGTAAATTGACGAAATCCACCTCTTTGGGGTTCGATCCCGCGACCTTCCGGCTTGTAGCATAGTGCCTCAACCAACTACGCTACCGTGTGCCCCCAGAATAAACGTACACACACCATGCCTTGTGTGGGATTCGAACCCACGATCCCGGCTTCCGAGCGAGCGAAGACAGTTCAGCTACCGTGACCGGTTGTAAGCAACTAGGATGCTTAGCGTCGGAATGGTAGGATGCGTGATGAATAATGAATTGGAAAGGATTTGCAATGAATCAGTCGTGGTCTGATCCGGGTACTATGCCAGCATTGGCCTGAAGTAACTGAGTAAAACCATAAAAAATTGAGAACAGCTGATGCCCCGAACTGGAGTCGAGTCGAGCCCTTCCCAAACAGAAATCCAAAGCGTTTCCGTTACACTAACGTGCAGCATCACAAAGCCACGTATTATTATCATATAACTTCATGGCCTCTAGCAGTATTCACCACGGTCAATAACATGTTAAGTGAGAGATGTAGGTCATGGCCTCTTAAACAAACAAACAAACAAAGAGAAAGATGTCTGCTGACTCTGAAGTACCACTTTCATGATAAGAACCGACTGCTATGAAATAAGATTTCTATTTGTTTTTCTGGGCATTATGCTACAAGCCGGAAGGTCGCGGGTTCAACTCCCGATGAGGTTATTGGATTTTTTCAATTGACCTAATCCTTCCAGCCGCCCTATGGCCCTGGGGTCGACTCAGCCTCTAACAGAAATGAGTACTAGTAATTAATTAAATAATTTCCCTGGGAAGTAAAGTGCGGCCGGTGCGTAAGGCTGACAACCTCACCGCCATCTGTAAGCCGAATGTCGAGAGGAAATGAGGGACCCTCAACGTCTCACAACCCTATGGGCCTTCACGGCCTCTTACATGGATAGCTTTACTTTGCTTTTATTTGTTTTTCTAGTCTCTCTGTTTCCTTTCGTGTCCTC